AAACCGTGATGCATAAACTTGCTCTTGAAACTCTCATGTAGTGCCTGGCAAAAAATTGCAAAAATGGTTGAAATAAAATTCGGAAGTATATGCAAAGATACGGAATACTTGATGCTTAAAGAACTATTAGACAACACAATTCTATTAGTTCTTGATATTTATACTTTATTCTTTTGAGCTAGCAATCTTAATTCATATATTAAATCTTGTTTTCAGGTTTGGGTTATCTTTTATAAATTTCAACGTAAAAATTATACTAAAGCACCTTTAATATTTCTTTCAGATATTTTTTATTGGCAATCCAATAATCATCTAATTTTAGAGATGATGAGTGCCGAATTACTGAAATTCTCTGATACACCTGTGGAAATATTTCATAGTCTCTTACGGCACAGTACGAAAAAACATTATTCGGCACAGCAAATAATTAAAGAAGCACGATATATTAACTTTTTATGATTTAATGACAATGGTTTTAAAGAAAATTTTGTTCACACTACATCTTGGGCAGTTTATCGATACTCTTCTCAGAATATCAAAACTTTGATGTAAAAACTGCTTGCTTTTTTTTAGAATATTTTTCTGATATTTATACTCATATTAATTGAAAAAAAGTTATATTTTTAATTCCACCACAGGTTGCTATAATACATCTGTCAAGAAAAAGGAAGAAGAGGAAAAATTCTAACATTAGAACTAGTATGCTCATTCTGGCAATGAAAATGAAGGAAGCTTGGCTTTGTTATTTACCCTTAGAATATAGCTCTTCATATAAGCCAAGTCTATCTGGTTGTGATTCTTCTAATTGTTCTTTTGCTAATATAATCTTTACTAAAGAAATAGGTCAAGTATTGCTATGCGGCCATGTATATTACAATAAATATTTTAGCCAGGATAGATCCAAGTGTTTGCATTGTTTAAATCATCTTAAAGATGGTGTTGATAAGCATGTATAATCACTTTTAAAAAGCCTAAGTGAACTTGATTCGAATATTAATGTCAAAAACGAAGACCCTGATTCGATTGCTGAAGATGAAGATGATGATAAAGAATCTGCTAATGGTATTTCAGCTCCTTGGGATGATACGATATGGAAATTTCTTCTATTATAATTTTTTTTGTTAATTTGGTTATTTAAAGAATTTTATATTCATATATATATATATATTTTTTTTAATTTGTACAAAAATCTAAATAAAAATTGGTTGAAATAATGAAAATAATTAAAATAAATACATCATATTATAAGTAATTTTATATTGAATTATTAATGATTAATTGATTGATTAAATTATTAACTAATAACGATATAATAATATATGGTGTAGCTAATTAGTACAGGATATATAAAAAACGAAAAGTTGTGGCAAAAATTGTACTAAACTTTTATTAAATCCGTTGGTAATTTATTTGATTCATCATTAATGATCAAAATTATTAACTTAATAATATTAATATATAACGTATTATTAATTTTTTCATTATTATTAACTAAAAACTCAGGTAATTAGTTGATGGCTTATGTAAAACACGTGAATATGATCGACCAATCAAATTTTGTAAAATCAAAAATCGATCTACGCTGATCTACAAAAATTGACCAATCAAATGAATTTCTGTCTATGAGGTAGCTTATTTTCGGATAAAAGCGGATTTTGCTCGATTGCGAAAAATTTTACTAAGTAAATCGGTATAGCTTATTAAGTAAAAATTATTTAGGAGATCAAAATACATATATTCTAAAAATTTCATATAAATTGGATAACTTTTTATTAATTGACTTTTGATTTTTACGTTCAACGAATATGAATTTTAAAGAAAATTTAAAAAATTTATCAAACGTAACATGCAAAAGTCAATTAATAAAAAGTTATTTGATTTATATGAAATTTTCAGAATATATGTATTTTGATCTCCTAAATAACTTTTACTTAATAAGCTATATAGATTTACTTAGTAAAATTTCGACTTTATTATAGAGTAACTACTGATGATCGTATAAGTAGCTTATTTTCGGGCAATAGAAGTTTTTATGTTTTTCTTCCAAAAAAGGAAAGTAGCTTATTTTCGGAATAATTATTTTCAGGAATATACGGTAATATGGTAAAGAGAACTTGTACTTGATAAGAAACTTTTCATATAGTATTCGAACAGTTGTACTAATAAAGTTTCTTCTTTGGTTAGATCAGATTATTTTAGAAGTTCTATGTCTACAGATAATTTCTTTGAAGATAAATTTTGCTAAAGTTTTGGTTCTAATATCTGATATAGTACAAGCTTCTAGCCATCGAATTAGATAATCCGTTGCTATGATAATATAGTGATTATTCTGTTTTGTGATTGGTAATAGTCTAACTAGATCAATTCCAATTCATTTAAAGACTTATCTAATTTGAATTGGATATAAAAGTTCTTTTTTTTTTCTTTTTAGTCTCTTCTGGCAATCTTCACATATCTGTACATATTCTTTAATATATCGATACATTTGGTTCTAATAATATTATTCAGCTATTTTATAATACATTGTGTCTGTTTCTAAATGTCTAGCAGTAAGGTATTTATATATCATATAGAGAACAGGTTCTACTTCTGTCTACAGTATTTGATAACTCGTAAAGGTCTATTTGGATCTTTTCTATTCTTTTTATACAGTAAGTAGTATCTAATCTCAAAGTATTAGGCCTGATTAATTAATTGTTTTGTCTGGTTTTGGTAAAGTTTTTAAGTATTGTTTCTGTAACTAAATACTTATATAATTGATAATATCAGTCTAGATTTATAAGGACTTGAGTTCTTTGGTCTAAGTCTGTAATTGTGAGAGAGCATTTTGATATTGGAGTATATTCGTCTTGATTTATAAATAATCTCAAAGTTATAAGGCTATAACTTGAGTATCTAATGATCTAATCTTCCTTTAGATTCAGCAGTACGTAACTATTTGAGAGCATAATGGTTAGTAAGGGACATAACAAAAATCATGTGATTTTTTAGAAGAGGAGAGAGTAAAAAATTTAAAATTATATATAAAGATCAGATCAAGATATATACTGTAGTAAGAGGAGAGAAGAGGTGTAAACTTCTGATAAAAAAAATCAGATGATAAATAACACTGCTTTAATTAAAATAAACTTGGTAGCTCCAATATATTTATAAAAATATTCAATAGTCTAAACTATAGCAGTATATTTTAATTCAGTAGCACCATAGTTTATTTCTTCTTTCTTGAGACTTTTACTAGTATAAACTATGGAATGTTCTTTATTATAGCTGTCAAGTTAACTAAGAGTAGCACCAAATCTATAATATGAAGCATCAGTTGCTACAGTATGAACAACCTAGTCCAAACCAATAAAAATTTTTAGTAGCCAAATTTAGATTTTATTTTTTATATATATGAAGAGGCCAATTTAAAAATTTAGCTAATCTTTATATATAAAATGGCTAAATTTAAAATTTTAATATATATAAAAATAAAATTAATTGTTTAAAGAAGCCAAATTTACTTTTTTTATATATATTAAAGGTAGCCAAATTTTATATTTAATTATAAAAATACTATAACTTTAACTTGCTATAACTTTTTTATAAATAGATTTAAAAAAAATTTAAGAACTTGGGAGTGTTTAGCTTGTTTTGATTTAATATTTTAAGATAGTATTTTTTGGTTACTATTTTTTTTGTAAAAAGATTAGCAATTTGAATTGCATCAATTTTATTAGTCGGAACTAGGTTGTTTGCACTGTAGGATAAATATTTTCTTGAAGTCCAGATAGCTAAATATAGAGATACTAATGAGTTTTTGCTTTAGCTTATTAATTGGTGATTCGTCACTCAACTAGAGAGAGCTCATAGTATAATGTGATGCGGTTTATATATAGAAATTAGGGTTTTTGAAATATAAACTGCTTCTATCTAAAACTTTTTTTTGTACTAAGTTAATTATCTTTGGGCCTCTAATTAAAGTTGTAGAGCTTATCAAAACGAATCTAATGGTGGTTGAATCGTCAAAATTAGCCTTGTGGATCACAAGATATCTTCGAAAAACTTTTTGTCAACTATGTAAACTTCTCTTTCAACAATACATATTGTTGAAAGAGAAGTTTACATAGTCAGCGAAACGTTTTTGAAGATATCTCGTGATCTACAAGGCTGATTTTGACGATTCAACCACCATTAAATTCGTTTTGATAAGCTCTACAACTTTAATTAGAGGCCCAAAGATAATTAACTTAGTACAAAAAAGTTTTAGATAGAAGCAGCTCATATTTCAAAAACTCTAATTTCTATATGTAAACTGTGTCACATTACACTATGAGCTCTCTCTGGTTAAGTGGCAAATCACCAATTAAAGGAGTCTTGTTGAGCTTCAGTCCACTTATAAGGTTCATCTTTTTGAAGAAGTTGATTCAAAAGTTTTATAATTGCAGAAGAGTTTTGCAATTGCAAAGAAGTTGCAAATAAATTGGTGATAGTATTCTACTAGTTCTAGAAAAGATCGTAACTGGGTTATATTCTTAAGAGATAAAATTTGTTAAACAGCATTGATTTTCTGAGGGTTTGAGGCAATTCTTTTAGGCAAGATTATATATTCTAGAAATAGTAATCTTTGTATCTAAAAATTATATTTCTTAATGTTCAATCAGAGTTTAGCTTGTCTGATTCTAGTAAAAACTTCTTATAAGTAGATTAAATGATTATCAAAGGTCTTGGAGAATACAATAGTATTATCTAGATATACTACTACAAATCTCTACACTATCTTGTTATAAACTCTGTCTATTAAGTATAAAGGCATTACAAAGTCCAAAAGGCATAACATTGAACTCGTATATTCTATAGCGAGTAACAAATGCAGTCTTTTCTCAGTCTCTGAGGTACATAGCTACTTGCCAATATCTACTAGCGATATCTAGTATAAAGAACAAATATTATCTGGTGAGAGTATTTAACATTTCATCAATTCGAGATAACAAATAAGCATCTTTCTTGGTTATAGTATTTAGCTTTCTGTAATCTACACAGAAGTGTAATTTGCTATTTTTCTTTCATACTAATTCAATAGAAGAGGTCTATGAGTTACTGGATAGTTGTATTAGCTTAGCATCTAGCATTCGTTAGATTTCTTCTTTAACAAATGCTTGTTTGCTTGAGTATCAAATAAGGTTGAGAATTTATAGAATATATATCTTCAGTATAAATTGCATGAGTAACTAGGTTAGTTTGTTCTAGTTTATTAATGTCTAATATGAATAGGTCTATAAATTCTTCTAGTAATTGTCTGAATCTTCATCCTTTATCTTCTGAGAAAGGTCTAATATTTAATGATATTTTTTTTAGGGTTGTATACTTTTCATAAGGAATAAGAGTATCAATAGTATATATAGGTATAGGAGTAAGAGTAGAGTTATAAATGTTTGTATTCTCAGATAGTTTTTTATCTTGTCTAGAATTAGTGTTGTTATGTGAATACAGACACGAATATGGATCAGACTAGACCAGACGTCCACATTCATGTCCAAAGATGATAATATTTACTGAACATTGTCCTTAAATCGACTAATCAAATATTTGGCATTGGACAATATTCACGATAATTTTATTGACTATAAACATACTGTAAATAGTATATATGTATTCTAATATTTGCTGAAAACCTACTTTACTAGATCTGTATTTCAATATCATTATATATTTTAACATATTCTTACAAATTATGATAAAATCAATATGCCAAGATTATATATACCACCAAAATAGGTTTTTAAAAAACCCTATTTTATCTCTATTAGAGCAATTTAGAATTTTTTATATACAAGAGCAAATCCAATTTAGGTAGTTATGTTTTTTATAATTTCGTCTCTTCAAAAAAAGTGTTAAAAAATTTCGTCTTTTAAATAAAATAGGTCAAAACCAATTTCATCTTCAAATTTTAATTTTGTATCCCAAAATCTAAAATAATTTCATCAGTATATATAGCCAAGATAAAAACTTCAAGTTTAATATATATTTTTTAAATAAATTAAATAAAGTTAAATTTTTAGCAGCAAATTTTAATTTATTACATACAATTAATGATTAATTTA